TATAGTTTTGATTAACCGTATGTGAAACCTAAAAAATACAACACAAATGACAAAATGGCACACCATGAAGCTCTACCTGCAATTCGATAGCTATATGAGTCATTTCTTAATTTTTTTTTTATTTTTTTTTAAAAAGCTTAGAAGATTAACAAAATTTGACCTTTTTTTTTTCTTTATAGTTCTTGAATAATAGTGTGATTAATTACTAAGAAATAACATACCCAAACATCATAATTGCTAGCTGGCCTTGAGTGTGTATTTTGATGTAATAACATGCTTGACAAATTTATATTGGGAATAGCATAACCGAGTGAGTAATTAAGACGTGAATCATTATATTAATAGTTGTATACCTGTAATTAAGTTATATTTTGCAGGCAGCATTCGTGCGGTACTTCCTGCAAGTCAAATGAGTCATTATAATAATGGTTATATGACTTTAAGCCAACTAACCAAAAAAAAAAAAAGATATAATTTTATCCTTAAGAATAGATTATTAATAGTTATTAAATAAATTTTCTTAGAGCTTGATACTTAGAGGAAGGTAAGAAGAGTGGGATGAAAGAGGTATTATCGAATATCGATATCTCTGGGAACACTATTTTAAGGGGGAAGGATTAAGGAGTCATTCCCTTTCAACCCACTGAACTCACTGGCACATCATTCTTTTTTATTTTTCTTCATCTTTCCCAACCCACAACACACGGAAACCCTATCTTTCTCAACCCACTCAACTCATTCAATTAAAAAAAATAGCAATAGAGTTAACGCCGCTATCACTCCCTTTTCAGCGGGTTGTTTAACTGGTTTCACTTTCCCTCTCTCATTTTCTTTTATATCATGTGTTTTAAACTTGTACCTTAGTTGTTTTGTATTTTTTTTAATTGAGTGAGTTGAGTGGGTTGAGAAAGATAGGATTTTCGTGTGTTGTGGGTTGGGAAAGATGAATAAAAAGGAGAGACAAAAATTGATGTGACAGTGGGTTCAGTGGGTTGGGAGGGAATGACTCCCTCCCCCTTATAGTACTGCAAAAGATGCAAGTTAAGTAACCTGATGCTCCACTTTCATCTATTTACTACACTTGTATTGTATATATCATAAAATGTACCAAAAAGTATGGATTGAGAGCAATATATTTACGAAAGAGTGGGTTGGGAGGGCTGAAAGTGAAATGCTGAAACAAATATATCTAACAAAACAATACTTGATGAAAAAAATGATAAATATGATAAATATGATACGAGTATATCTTCCGTTTCAGATTCACATTGGGAACCTGCTCAGATTCACATTGTGAACCTGTTCAGATTCACATTGTGAACCTGTTCAAATTCACAGTATGAATAATGTTAAATCAGATTTACAATGTGAATAAATCCATTTGTTGATTTTACAAAACTAATTTATGAGTAATAAAAACGTTAAAATATTATAAAACTACATGAAATATATTTCGATTCATATGTAAATTTCACTAAGTTAATTTGCGAATAATCAAAGAGTTGAAATAGTAAGTCAAATTCATATTGTGAATGTTACAAATTGAAATATTTACAGTTTAAATTCACAGTGTGAATCTGAATTGATCGATTTTTTTTAATCGGTGTTGATGTTTATTAATAGAGTACAAAAAATTCTGAACAACAATATATTCGGTATTTTTTTTCAATAAAAAATGCGGCCTAAAAACATTTAAACGAAAAAAAGAGTTGGATTTTTTTGGTAAGGATTACTTATTTAATAGAAACTATATAATAGAGAATGATAACATATTCTAACAGAATGTATTTCATTTTTCCTATCTTGCAATGTTTTTTACTTTTCCTATCTTGACAAATAAGGAGATTGAAATTGAATTCTGTCAGAATAATAGACATTCTAAGAGTTCTGACAGCATACATACCACATGACCAGATTCTAACAGAATGTATTTCATTTTTCCTATCTTGCAATGTTTTCCACAAACACCTTTCGTGCAACATATATAGATAATAGAGAATCAAAGTTCAAAGTATAAAAAAAACAAACATCCAGCAAGTGAAGATTTCTATGTACTGTGAGTGTGGCTTGGCTTTCAATCACA